GCTGAACCCTTGCATTCCCGTATGTGGATCCTTGCACAGTTGATCTCGCTGGCTGTAAGATGAAGAACAGCATTAGGAGCAAAAAGTTATCCCAATCAATAGAGTAAGACTATGGTTCTAGAAGCATAAAAACTGAAAGAGCAATAAATACATAGGGGAAAATAAAATTGCAGAAACAATATCAGCAGAAATTCACAATACAATTAGACCGTAGCATTGTTTACAATTAATCAGGTGAAAGAAGCATATAGAAAGAACAAAGCATTCTCCAACTAATTACTTAGATCAGATGTTGTACCCTGGTTACATCATGCACTCTAAAAGTTTGCTTTTTTGCAGAAGGCCACTCCAGTGAATCCTTTTGATTATACTGGGTCCTCCTGTTTGTTTGATGTGCATATTTTCGGTTCAATTCATTGACCTTCTGTTGCACTGCTGGCTTCAAATCCTCCAGCTCAATTATGGCATTCAACAAACTCTACAAGAAACTAAAGTCAAATCGAGAGTTTCTACAAAATAACAAGTTCCACATGTCTATGTTACCTTCTTCAAGTAATCTTTTTTGCTTTTAGGAGATGATCTATAATCTCGATGGCACGGTATTGTGTCAGAGACCAAGCTAAATCAAAACAAACCAAACAATTAGCAAAGTAACATTTTGCAAAAAGCTGAAAATAAAACTAGCCCATCTTCTCCCTATTCCACACTATGACACCACCTAGCTGGATGTCCATTTGATAAACTAGCTAAACCACAGAATCATACAGGAATCAATGTCAACTGTTACTTTATTCCTTACCTTGAGAATCTGAGGAGCATAACATACAGATCTATGATATTGTTTTCTTCTCGAAAGATGTTGCCCTACAATAAAGAGCCTTATTAAGAGCTGAAAGATTGATCATAACAGTTGAATAAGATGCTTTCAGAAAATGAGACTAGACACATTAACAACAAATAAGTTATAAAGAGAAGCAAGTTGTTTTTGTCATTTAGACAATATCCTAAGTCCTAATCAAACAATTCTGACAAATGTAAAAACATGCTGAATTGTTGATGCAATGATCAACATATGTTGAATTCTCTCCATTTCAAAATTCAAAATAAAGAAAGCATTCTTTTTTGGGCGCACCAAATTATATCCAAGCACCAACAGCTGGTTAAGTCTCTCCCTTACAGTTCTAAATTTATGCTCCCTACAGCGTTAACCATCACGACATCATTCCAGTGTCCCAGCTCCGTTTTTTTTTCTTCCTCAAAGTCTTTTTGGTGATAAAGTGAGAAGGAATGCTGTTAAGAAATGTTTTGCAGACCAGCACTTATACTCTTCTAAACTTTACATAGGTATCAATAAGTTTCTGACCTAAATTCTATCTTGAAGCGAATCATGTCACAAACTTGCCCAGTTTCCAAAACATTAATTAAGAACATCTCGACATTCATAGGAGTTAGGACAGGCTGTAACATATTCTGCCTTATAAGAATTTCCTTCAAATCTCATTGCTACTGGAAAACACCAACATTATCTTCAGAAAGGGACTCTGCTAAATTTTAATTGTATATCCTGATTCCTGCTAGCAAAATTCTCATTAATACCATCTTCTTCTAGTACACTTCCCATTTAAGAATAACCTCTTACTTAGCTTAAAACTATACCAAGCCTTGCCAAAAAATAAAAAAATAAAAAGCAAAATGCAAAAGCTCTGCCCCCAAATTAATGGAAGTTAAAACAATGGTTCATTGGTTTAACTAAATGCTAATTCCGGTGTCCCAGCACCAGAAGAAACTGTCCAACTGCTCACAGTTTCGAGATTATTGCTTTTTGAATAATATGACATAGCAAATGTCCAACATAAGCAAGCAGTTACATCATATTCAAAAAGAGCAGTCACAACCAGAACTCTTCAATAGTCCTAACAATTCATGTATACCTACTTGCACTCTAGCAAGCATTAAATACTGATTTTCTTTAACCCAAAAAATATCATAAAATCATCAGAACATTTCACTAACTTAGAAACTTCAAATCCTATATTGTTCACATACTCAAAAAACAGTAATTGTGCCTAAAATTCTGTTCCATCTGCGGCCTATTTGCAATCCAAAATCACCGGGAAAAATCAATTAGAGAAAAAATGCCTACTAAAACTAAATACGAATAATCCATGGCGAAATAGCAAAATCAAATAGTAAATAACAAAATTAGAAATAATACTGGCAGTAGACAAAACCTGCTTGAGAATATTATCAGCGATCCGATAGTAATAACGGAGAGAAATCCGATTATCGACAGAAAGTTTCTGAGCGCTTGCAGCAATGTTGATTCTCTCCGAAGACGACCTCATCTTCTTCAACGACTTTGGTCTTTCGACTTTCTTTTCTTTTTTCTCGCGGTTTCCTTCTAAGCAAACAGCATTTCTCGGCGGATCGGAAATTGCGGAATCTCTAAGAAGATAGAATTGGAGCAAGGGAAAGGAAGTATCGTCAATGGCGGCTCGGGTTGGGTTGGAAAGAGGGACGGATCCGCGGACAAAACCATTCCAACAAGGAGGTCATTCCGGATGTATGATGAGGGCAAAATTGGAAAGATAATAAAGTAAGGGACCGTTTGGCTACGGTGAGAACTCAAGATCCACCAACCATAAGATTCACATTTAGCCTCATTCATTTTACATATTCGAGTTTTGTTACAGTGAAAAGCTCTCAAGAAATAATCACATCTAATTTTTTTATTACAGTAAAAAACTCTTACATAAAATAACATCTCAACGAACTAAACGAGCCCTTAAAATTCACATTTAAGTTGGACAAAAAATAAATAAATAAATTAGGCATCGTTTGGTCTTGGTGACGTTTTCATTTGTTTTTGAAAATGTCTTTGTACGTCTTTTGAAGTATCGAAACAAAAACGTTTTCCAAATACTCATCTAGTGCTCTTGACACTACCAGTTAGCGGTAGACCTGATATAGTGTGCATTTTTCATACAGTCCAGAAGCACTTATAGAGGGTGAAGTTTACAATTGATTTGTTTGATGGCTAATGGCTGAGTTAGGAGTCACTGTTGATAAAGATGCTAACAAGAATGAGAACGTTAGTATGCGAAAAATAAAAAGTAAATGAAAAAGCAAAGACGTAAAATAAGAGTTACATTCTCCGTAAGATTTTGGCGATCTCACTAGTTTTGCTAAAAAGTAACACAATAAATGTCTTAGAAAAGAACGAGATGAGAGAGGAAAGAAGCTTGGGAAAATATAGATAAGGTGCGAGAAATAGTGAGAATAATTGTTATAGTCCGTCTGGAGGTGTCCCCTAAATTTATTAATACTTTAGTTGTTTTTATTAGTTGAAACTTCTAATTATCTTGGTAGGCATTTTATACTATTCTTTTTCTCTTACAAAATAATTTTTTCCACGAGGATTTGTGATGTCTTTCTACGGAATTACAAGTCTTTTATTGGTTCATTTTGTGGTGCATAATTTTGTGGGATGTGTGTTGGAAAGTGCAGTGGAATTTTAAAAAGTTTGTTTAATCAAAACAACTATATAGGACCTTGTTTATGATGCCATATAACAAAAATAACATAGATCTAAATTATATCTCTACGAGACTTATAACGGTACTTTCAATTGAACCACTTCTTAGAGAATCGGATCAAAAAAGAGTCTCAAGCAACTGTAGTTCTTTATTATTCTCTTTTTCTTAAATCGGCATGTGGGTGGGTTTACACCGTTCAATCTCTTTTTAGTAGCTTTCTCAATGATCAAAACATAGGGTATAATTACTTTAAAAAATCATACAAATGTTGTAATTAAAAAAATTTCAGGAGGGCCAGCTACTCCCCAGGCCTCGTTGGCTCCGCTCCTGTGTATAACATAAAGATTTTTGTGTACTTTCTATCAACATTACCCATTTGAGTTTTGAGGCTCCAAAAGTGCTTCAGCTTCTGGTTTAATATTTTGGCTCTGCAATAACTCCAATGTTGCTCATCAACATCAAATCACCACTTAATACTTATAACAGAAATTACCAACTAGCTACAATAAAGGTTAACATTTATGACCTCAAAATAGAATCTGTATTCCATCGGGCCGAGTGGAAGACCATATATTGGAACAGTCATATTTGGATGCTCTTCTTTCAGTTGCAGGCTTCGGAAACTTTCTGAATCGAAAATCTTAGACGTATAAGAACTTAAGCTGGGATAAGGACTAGAGCCCACAATTACTGGGTTGCTTTGCCCATTTTCCCATGGGAGATCAAAATAGGGAATGCTCCACTGAATTCCCCAGGCAAATTCATAGTACTTGTTGACGGTTGGATTTCGCCAATAATAAACCCGCCGGATTATCTTGAGGTTACCCTTTGGATTACCGGTTTGTGGGTTTAATGAAAGTGTGGATTCTAGTTTGATTTAAGTATTTTTGTGTTTAAATGAACTGTATGTAAATGAACAAGAAGAATTTTATAGTGGTTCACTCTATAAAATTAGAGCTATATCCACTGTGTATATTATATTTCTTCTGTGGAGGTTATAGTTTACAATCAATCTTATCTCTCTCTCTTGTTCTTTTTCCTCTCGCCCCTCTCTTCCCTATTGGGGTCCTTCTTTTATACTCAGGCTTCCTTTACTGGGTGGGTTTCCTTCGTAGGTAGGAACACTCAAGTGCTCTCCCTCTCTAGGCCCAGACATAGCCCACTAATTAGTACTGTTCACTCAACCAATTAGTCTTCTATTACGGCTCTGTGACTCTCCGTAATGCTTTTCTGTCCCCTGGGGGGGGCGGTTTGTAAACTTGCAATTAATGCTGTCAGATTTCTCTTACTTTTGCACGTAACCCGTCGTGTCTCAAAGGGACGTTCCCCTCGTCGTCGGCGCTGTTTAGCCTTTCTCGCCCTTTCTAGCGATCTTTTCTGCAGTTGAGGGATCTTGTCGTGTCAACCCAGGCGGAGTCAACCGTCGACGCCTCATGGGGTCGTCGCCCTAATCATGGACTTCATCTTCGGGCTCTACAGCTGATCTTGAGGGAAACGAAGCGTCGAGGGTTGAGTGATTGGCCGAAAGCAAGTATAGCCACGTGTTGTGGTGCTGTTGGTCCAGGTGTCTATCATATTTTCTCACACAACAGCCACCCCCCAGGTCGAGGGCTCCTTTCTTAGGCGGCCTCGAGCTCTAGGTTCGGTTTGTCCTTTCCGTGCTTCGGGTGTGGGAAATCGGTCCCGAGCCTTCGTCCGCAATGATGGCCTGGGTGCTTCGGGTGTGTAACCGTCGCGTCGATTGGTCTGGCATAATGATGAGCATCCGTGTTTCAAGAAAACGAATATAGGCCGTCGGATCCGCGTCTTTCCGATTTTCCGCCCTTCCCCTTACCGTCAGATTCGGAGAGTGATCCCTGGCCGTTGGTCTTTTGGGGTTTTCATCCGACGGTTGGGGGTCTTCATTCCCGACTCCTTTAAATACTCTCCATGAACCTGAGGGTCATTTTTTCCTTCTTCGAAACTTCAAAAAATTTTTTGCCGCTGCTTTGCCAGGACATTCGTACTTTGCCGGAACCCTGTCCACTGAACTTCCGCCTTCGTCCTTCCCATCCTCCGTGGTGTACTACGAAACCGTCCCGGATATACTTCTTCACCGGTAAGTTCCTGGATCCTTTTTCTCTTTGCGTACTCACGGTGTTTCCCCCGTTGTGTACCAGGAATATGTAAACATATATGCAGAAAACGAGAATATATATTAGTTAAAGAGACCTACTTTGTTGTGTTCTGTCGTACTGGATGACCTGGCTTTTATATACGCGCATTTTTTGTCTGTTTGTCTTTGGTTTCTGGGTTCTGGGGAACCTGCGGTTCCTATGAACACTCGTCGTTACCATTTTTGTATGAATGGTCGACGTTAACCAGTCGTCGCTTAGAGTAGTCGCCGTTTATTCCTCTCGACGTTAGGGTTTTAACTTAGCTTTTTGTCCTTGTTATTACCAGGACAATGGTCCAAAGTTCACCCAGTCGAGAGGATTCTCCTTCTGTCGTCCGTTCTGACCCCCCTTCGGTGGTAGAGATCTCGTGGACCTCTTCGTCTTCCGGTGTCAGCTCTGTGCTTAGGGATATCGAGGATGGCGAGGGAAGTTTTGAGCCTGGTGACGATTTCGGAAGTGAATTCGGTAGCGTCGAACGAATGATAGATGAGGTGGTCGGGCGGAGCCCTTTTACGGGGGGGAGCATAAGTGGAGTAGTCACTGCGACGGTGGATGCCCCCCTGGCTGCCACGAGCGGAGACCCAAATAGGCCCTCATTTACAGCCGATGATGTGGCGTCGAAGGTCCGAAATAAGGATATCATTCGGGCTGTGAAAGAGGGATGCATTGACGGGAGGTGGTTCGAGTACCTCCTCCCGGATAAGCATTTCAGAACCAGCATGCCGCCGACCGGATACCTTCCGGTCTACACGAGAGCGGTAACTGCAGGGATGACTCTCCCAATTCATCCCTTTGTAAGAGATTATTGCCATTTTTACGACATCTCTCCTGCCCAATTAGCGCCGAACTTCTGGTACTGTTTTGCGGGAGCCTGGATTCTATGGAACCAGAAGTTCGACATGGAACTCCCACTGGACGAGTTACGATTTATGTATAAGTTGTGCCACGTTGCCAAGTGCGATGGGTGGTACTTTTTGAGCGGCCATGGGAGGGCTCAGCCTAGGTTTGGGAAGCTCATTCTGGGCATCCCCTCGTCGTCACATGGGTGGAAGCCCATATTTTTCATGATTCGTGGGCCCTTTAACTTCCACCCCAACGACCGCCAGCCCCGCCGAAGGCTGGTGCAGGCGGTGTTTGGAAATATGAGTAAGCCCCTCGATTCTCTTTTTATCTGACCTTGCCCCCTTTTCATATGTTGATGAGGAGTCCTCTGTGTTGCAGTTAGTCAGGACCAGCCAAAGTTCTCTGGAAACAGTTTGGCGAGGATCGAGGAAGCTTTTTCCTATTCGTCGGAGGTTCGCCACATTGATACACTCCTGACCAAGGAGAACCTTCGTACTGCTGGCCTAATTCTCGACCTTCCCAACCCTTCAGATCTCGACGCCGTTCGCTCGTACTTCCATTTAAGCGACGGGGGTAATTACTTCTCTCGACGCTTTGTTGAATTAAGATTCGTGTTCTCCTAACGCTGACGGTACCTTCTTTTTCTTGCTAGAGATGGCATCATTGAGGATCCAGCTTCCTGGGGGCCAACGGCCGGCACCGAGTCAACAACAGGCACCGAGCCAACAGCCGCCGTCCATCCCGCAGCCCCCGTCAGGCCAACAGCCTTCGGCAAAGGGGAAGGAGAAGGCCGGCTCTTCCTGCCCTGCACCGAAGGGCAAAAAGAGCAAGCACAAGAGGAGGCGTACTGAGGAGTCGGCCCATAGTCAGGAGTCGACTGATAAGACCTGGACACCGGTAGTGCCCATTCCCGATATCCGCGCTCCCCCGGGACCAAGAGAACGCATACTGATCCCGGGGGGGAAGATTATGGACGGGAATTTCCAGGTCTCGGAT